GAAGCCAAAAATTACTCTAACTGAGATGTCAAAGCTGACAGTGAAAATAAGGTTAAGTTGACATGGAAAATGAGATGTCAAAATTGATACCATTGCTTCAAGGCGTCAGACATTAAATGCTAAAATATTTAAGTATCTTTTAAGTCAATTTTGCTATTTCCAAAGGTATTTCACTTGTCTTATCTTAAATCCTAGTATATTTAAGTATTTTTTTTATTATTTTTAAACCATCAATACCCTAACTTTTTGTTATTTTTGTTATAAAAAAAATCATAAATGAAGTAATAAATTTGGCATATTGGGTGGAAGAAAAATATTGACAATATGTCAATTGCCAAGTCAGCCATCAATTTCAATCTTGATGTTTTGAGTTTGAAGTCTCATTTAGAGATGTTCTTAGTGTCACAGACGACCATTATAACTAATTTGATATGTATACATCAGTTGAGTTTGTATTCATAATATATAATAACGAGAACATCGTTTGTATTGATATAATTAATTGTTGAATTTTCATCTATTTAATTATTAATTACATATTAAGTCAGTTCATCACAGAATTCATGCTATAGACTGACTAGTCCATTATAAAATTTTCAGATTAATGATTTTGTTTAAGGTATTGTTCTTCACTTGTTGGTGATAGATCTTAGGTAAATCTTGCATATGAGGAGTGTGGGAGCCAAAAATTGCTACTCCACTAACACGACAATCATGGGAAGTGGATCTACAATTAAGCAACCTGATACCCACTTATGGAACATGGATAAATAGAAAGAGAGTGAGACTTGGTGTTAAATCACACATCGTCCGGGAGAGAGGATCCTCTATGTCTTATATGTACATGTCCACCTCCATATAGCACGAGGCCTTTTGGGAGCTCACTGGCTTCGGAGTTCATCGGAACTCCGAAGTTAAGCTAGTTCGCGCAAGAGCAATCCTAGAATGGGTGACCCACTGGGAACTTCTCGTGTGAGTTCTCATAAACAAAACCGTGAGGGCGTGGTCGAGGCCCAAAACAGACAATATCGTGGTACGGCGGAGTCGAGCCCAGGATGTGGTGGAGCCCAGATCAGGATGTGACACTTGGAGCCCAATACTTGAATGCCTATAAAAGGGTAATAATCTCATTAGCGTGGAGAGGGAAAGACGAGATTACTTTATGAAATATTGCAATCATTTTGAACAAATACTGACTTGAGCATCGAAATGTTTTATTGCAGGTCCCCTTCCTCCCTCATTGATGGCGAGCGAAGATGGTGTCTAAGACTTCTCAACCTGTTCAAGATTACTTGTTGGTGTAGAATTACAGTACCCGAAATTTTTTGCTCAATAAAGAGTTTGATACCAATTTATTTTCATATCCTTTATTATAAATATATTGTTAAGAAAAGAAAAATGTTACGGAGACCATGTTTTTAGTCCATAGTTTATAGACCATTATGTGGTCGTTTATGGTTGTATTAATCGCCGCATCTTGAGATTTACAAAATGTGGTTCTAACTTATGATCTCCCTAACATTTTCCTTAAAAAAAAAAAAAAAAAAAAAAAGGGATATTCTAACTTTGAACTTGAATTCTTTCTACACTAATTAATAACTAAATTAGTGTGATTTGACAAACATTTGAAGGATAAGGAGGCCATGTATGAAAGACAATTGAAGATAACCATATAGTTAATATGTAATTTCATCTCAGGTAAGATGTCATATATATGTTGCTCCAAGATAAAAAGGACTAAACGAGTGACCCACTTTATCGAAATCTAATGGAGTTATTGGTAAGATATGAAGTAGGGAAGTAGGCTACAATGGTGGATTCAAGAAAAATATTTCAGGGGGTCACATGTAAAAGTTTACAAGCATTTTTTAGACACATAATAACCTTAAAAATTAAACCATAGTTCCATCATTCATAGCTTATAGAACAAATAACAATACAAGTTACAATAGTCCCCGATGCGTTTTCATATTTTGAAAACCTTGCATTATAGATTCATTATCAATGGAAGAAAAAAACATTGCTTTCAATATAAACCACTATACTATCACTCAACTATTGATCTCACATTCGGTTTCGCAATGGAGTATTCACAATATTCATAGCGGAAAAAACTCTCTCCACTGAAGCAGTAGCAACCGGTAAAACCAAAGCCAATGTAAATAGCAAATACACATGATTATATACTCTATTCCTCCCCGTCTCCACCATTTTTTTTTGCAGGACTACCAATTCCTTTCAATTGAGAAAATTCACTACTCGAACGCATATCAAAAATATAATACCCAAGTTGATCTTCAAGTGCCAAGAGTTGACAAGTAGTAAATTCATTCGGATAAAATTGAGCAAAACAAATTAGCCTTTATTCATCAAAAGCCGATAATGAATCATCCGGGTTCAAACTTGTCAAACAAAGAAGCAACTGTGTATTTACCTTATCAAACATTTTATCAAACAGTTGGAGGTCATATATGAAGCCAACTCTAATCTTCAAAAGGGCAACACCCAAGGTATCTATGGACATTCACCAAAGTTCAGTGGGTCAGCATCCTAGATATCCAAGAATGTTCACTGAAGTTCGGAGAGTTAGCTGACCACCTGCCCCTCAATGCATTCGCCATTGGTAGGCTATTCCCTACTTTGATTTCGACCAAGTGGACCTATTGGTCCATTATATTGCGAATCACAGTGTGAATAAACCTCATTTCAACTCAATTCAACTCAGAGTTATATATCAAGTAAAATCCAAGTTACGTGGTAGCAACTCAAAAAAATTCTAAACGTAAATGAGCTAGGGTGTACTTGCTATTTAAAAATTTCATTAAATGAAGACGGTTAACTTGCATGCTTTAATAGAAGCGTTTTTTTTATAAGAAGCATGGTAAAATTCTGCTTCTACTTTCCTATGTTTTTCTACTGCAAATGACAACCCTAACCACATTTGATGTCTCTAATTTTTTTCATAAACTGTTCTTTTGTAAGCACCAAAACTCCAAACCAGTCTTTAATGTCTGGACAAACTGGGTTAAGGGTGTGAAAGGCGGCAAAGCCTAAACAATTTAGTGCACAAATTAATTAAAAATGCAAATAAAAAATTAAAACAAAGACGACCATAATAACTAATTTGATGTGTATACATCAGTTGAGTTTGTTTTCCAATAGACTAATAACGGGAGCATAATATGTACTGATATCCTTAATTTTTGAAGTTTTATTTATTTAATTATTAATTACACATTCGGTCAGTTCATCACATAATTTATGCTATAGACTAGTCCATTGTAAAATTTTCAGATTAATTATTTTGTTTAAAGTATTGTTCTTCACTTATTGATGAGAGATTTTAGGTAAATCTCGTATATGAGGAGTTTGATACTAGTTGATTTCCATATCCTTATTATGAACACATTGTTGAGAAAAGAAAAATGTTAGAAAAACCATGTTTTTAGACTATATTTTATAGATCATAATGTGGCAGTTGATGATTGGATCAATCGCCACGTCATGAGATCTACAAAATGTGGTTCTAATTTATGATCTCTTTAGCATTTTTCTTAAAAAAAATTGGAATGTTCTAACTTTGAACTTGAATTCTTTCAACACTAATTAATAGATGGTTGATGAACTTCCATCCTGATTTACTTGATCAACTTTGACTAAGTCAAACGGCTATTTAGAGTTTTTCTATATTATTTTGGTTGTCAATTAGCAATTGTATACATGTTATGTATTACTTATTAAAAGTTTAATGTAAAATTTACACAAAGGAAAAAAGAATATATAAATTGATTGCTAAAACTTTTTTTTTTTACGATCTTCATATGAATTTTATTCAATAAGCTGTTTCTGAATAACTATTTTATTACTAAAAATTTATTTATTTTAAAAAAATGTGGAAGAGAAAAAAGTCGTGACGCTTTAAAAGAAAAAAGGTACAACTATTTTGTTCATAAAATACTATATTGCCATTAACTTTTATTTTGGTTATTTTTTCTTTAAGTAAATTGTAGCAATGGTCCCTTAACTTTAATTCAATTTAAATAATGGTCACTCAACTAAAAATCTATTGGTCCTTCAACTAAAAATTCATTACCATTGATCCTTCAACTTTAACCCAATTGGAGTAATGATCCCTTAACTTTAATTCAATTGTAGCAATGGTATTTCCAACATAACTCATTTTGACAAAATTTTAACAAAGTTGGTGAAAATAACCATAGCTACACATTTTAATGAGTTAAGGGACCCCAATTGTAGCAATGGTCATTCCAATATAACTTATTTTGACAAAATTTTAACAAAATTGACGAAAATGACCACAACTACACATTTTAATGAGTTGAGGGACTAATGGTAATAAATTTTTAGTTAAGAGATTATTGCTCTAATTTGATTAAAGTTACAGAATAATTGCTATAATTTACTTTTTTTTCTTTAATTTTGGTGACAGAATTAATTTGATGTTTTCACCTATTTTTTGATTGATAAGAAAGATTTTGTTAATAGATAAATTAAATAAAAAACATATAAAATATGTAAGACGCCCAAAAATCGTAAGTCGATGAGTTTTATATTAATTTATTTCCTATATCCTTAGAGTAAATATATTTTTGTATAAAAAAACAGTTAAATTTGTAAATACGTTCATCATCATAATTCAAACTCATAATTAGAGATTTTTAAGAGTTGCTCCACATAAATATTTTATTTTATTTTTCTAAAAAAGAAAACTAGTAACAAACTATGATTATCAATTATTCTAGAAATAAAAAAGACTAACAAAAACATATAAATATTTTATTTTATTTTTCAAAAAAAAAAATTAGTAACAAACCACGATTATCTATTATCCTAGAAATACAAAAGGCTGACAAAAACATTAGGGTCACCCTCTCTCCGCGGCCACAATCCTGACTTTTACACCAGAAATTTACATTCTTCCCATCGCTTATATCCAAAAAGTAATCAGGAAAAATTTCAATCCAAAAAAGAAAAAGTAATTAGAAAACAGTTGGAGAGTAGTCCAACTTTTGTTCATATTTCTTTATTTTGTTTCTCAGAAATGGATTATGCATCCAATCTCATTGATAAAATAATAATTACACAAAAAATATATTTTTGATGGAAGAATAATTTTGGCTTACAACAAATTACACAGTCAGGATCATAAGTCGCCAGAAACTAACCCAATTTAACATAATAAATCTAAACGGAATTAGAATTGTGAGTCGATTTAATCACTAGAGGCTGAGTTCAAGCTGCTTTGAACTTTGCCCTTGTGCCCTCGAACTCGTTTGCTCGTCACTTTTGGCAGGAGAAGATGCTCTCTGGTTGTTCAGTTGATATGGTGCTACTGCTGTCACCCTGAAAATTTTAAATAACCCAATTGGAGATGCGTCGCTTCGATTCGTTTTTTACTAAAAAAAAAACCCTTCAGAAAATAAATAATTTGGAAAGTAATTTACCTTTCTTTTCTCTTGGCCAAGAACTTGTGTAGTGAAGCTCTTCTGGCCTGGGTTGGCACCTTAATTTCCTGAGAATTATTTTCAGCGACAACATTCGACTGATTCTCAGAACCCAATTTCTTCACAAATCCAGCAGAAATCTTGGAGCTTCCAGTTGTAGCCAAACCCATGATTTCCTTTGCCTTCTCAGCCTGCAGATCATTGAAAACCAGCACCTGCCCACCATAAAAAATAGTCATCTGGGCAGCAGATCCTGGCTGCTGATCTCCCAAAGCCGCTTCTGGGTTTTTGGTAAAATGCGGAAGCAAATCGATGCTGGGTTTTGATGACGGAGTCTGAGCCGTCTGATCAACTGGGTTCTTAGCAGCAGCCTCCATGGCCGTCAGCAAGTTCATGGTTGTGGGAGGGACGACTTGGAGGGTTCTCTTCTCCTTCAAGAACTGGCTCAAGAGGTTGCATGTCTGTGCGAAATTCAACTTCTCAGCTGCCATGTCGGATATCTTTGTGATGAAAATTGTCGATGAAAACAATTGAGAGAGAAAATTTGATGTAATCTCGGTGATGGTTTGCTGAATGGTGGGGAGTGGATGAGTGGGGGGGAGGATGGGAATATAAATGGGGAAGTCAAGTAAGGCTGCCTGTGCAGGAATATTGATTTTTTTATTGGATTTTTCAAGCACGTTTTTTTTGCATTATAAAATTGAGAGGAAAAAGAATGGCAAAAGCATAAAGAGGAGATAGGATTCAAACACGTGGAGTCAAGTGCGATGGGAGTGACCTTCTACCTGTCTTTTTACGAAAAAGCCTTTGAAACTACATTTCGTAATAAAAACAACTTAAAGCAGAGACTCTTGAAGAGCCACCCGTGATCCGGTCTGATATTATTCTTACGTGTTTGTAAATGAGAAATATTAAATTTAAACGTGAGTTCAATACTAATTTTTACGTTGTTAATGTTTACGTAGGAGGAGTGGAGAGCTAAATTAATTTCAGGTATACATAGAAGGAAATTTTTATTGACATTCTAAAAATTTATAAATTAAAAAAAAAATTACACTTGTGAGAAATGCAGAATTAGATTATTGCAGTGTTAATAACTGTTCTCTATAGAGAAATGCTTCCAACTGAATAAAATTACATTTAGTTAACTGAAAGAATTCTAATATTTTTAGTACAGTTAAAATCAAATTTTTACTTGTAAGTAAGAGCTATTTTTCTTAGTACTACAGTATAGTAGTATTCCTCTTTACTTGTAAATGAGAGTTCTTAGATTCAATTCTCATCAAAGATAAATTTAAACCATATTATTACTGACCTATTTATTTAAAGTAAATATATCGTTTATAAAAAAAAATCAAATTTTGACAATGAAAAGTTCGATATTTTACTTCAAAACTAGAGCTAACTAAATTACAATATAAAGGTTCACTGTCGTTTAAACTAAGCCACATATGGTAAAAAGATTGACACTCTCTTAGTACAACGGTATAATAATATTTCTCTTCACTTGTAAATCAGAATTCTTAGATTCAATTCCCATAAAAAATAAATTTGAATTTTATAAAAAAAATCAATTTTTGACAATAAAAAGTTCAATATTTTACTTCAAAACCAGGGCCAACTAAATTACAATATAATGGTACGGTGCCGTTTGAACTAAAACACATATAGTAAAAAGTATGGCACTATTCTGTAGCTGGAGGAATATGTGGGGTACATTGGTCATTTGACAGGTCACAAAAGTTAGGCTTGGACTGGGTTCGGTGGAGACTGGAGACGTAGAGTTGGGTTCAACGACCGACTTGTTCGCGGGACCCACGCTTGAAAATGGCAAACACGCGATGTTTCTCTTGTTTCCTTACATCGTGTCCTCGAGATTCGAGAAATTGGGTTCGCTCCCAGCACGTGATACAAAAGTTTCCATTCAATTCCGGTTGGGCAATTTCGTTTCTTTCATACCACTGGCCATCGCGTTTGCCGCGTGTCCAATACGTATATTCGGCCGATGGTCCACACTCCGCACCTTAAGTTGGAAAGATTTTACAGTGTCCCGAAACACCTCGATATAATTATGTGTTACTAAATATATCTCGACATTTAATAGACTACTTATTATATGTCTTAACTTAATTCTCCTTCATTTAGTGTAAAAATATCGATGTACTAGAAAAAAAAAAATAAAAGTGTGTAGAATGATTTATTTTATTTTATTTTCAAAATAGAAAGAGGAAGAAAGTGAAAGAGGACGTAAGAGAGGTGAGACGTGTTATTTATTTATTTTTTTTAAAATTAAAAATATCACAGAATCACATGTAGTTTGAGATTTTAAAAAAAGTAAAATTTGATTTGTGTGAAATTACATTACTGTCAAATTTGTCTTTGGCAAAAATCGAACCTAAGATCTCTTACTTACAAAAGAAAAAAAATATCACTAAATCATAGTACTAGGTGACTATTTAATTAGAAGGATAAAAGTAATTTTACAAGGTTTTGGTTGACAATCAGATGTTATTATTATGTAATTTAGATAATACAGGTAGTTGTATATTTAAAAAAAAAAAATCAAACAACTTATATTATGATACTTAGTATAACAGATCGTATTCTGGTACAGTAAATTTTTTTTCCCAAGTTGGTTGTGGTTCGTGAGTGAGTGTTGCGAGGCCTACATTCACGTGGTTACAATATGAAATTGTGATTAAAATGAGATGGAAATTGCTACTTGCATTTAATTAAAATTTATTTTTTGCATGTTTTGAATTGGAATTTTTTTTATTTGTCAAACACGTAAAAATAGTTTATATATCGACTTTATTTTGTGGTTATATGGGTTTGCGTTTTTTGTACGTAAAATGACAATGTTTTATTTGTTGGAAAACCTTTAAACAATCTCATATATGCATGCCATGCGACATGAGCAAGTCAATTGGTGGAACATATTCATTAAATCGAGTCAACATATTGGTGGTAAAATCTACCACGACACGATTTTATGAAAAAATTAAGCATACTAATCAAGCCTAGAACGTGATAATAACATGACTTTTAATGAGTTGAATTAGTGTCTTAACTTGGTTTCAACACACAATACAAATATATATATATATATATATATTTATTTATTTATTTTATATTATTTTTTGAAACGATATGATATTTATTGATCAAGAAAAACATACAAAATTTGTGGATAGTGTGCATAATGGGCATTGATATATATTTTTATTATATTTTGAAAAGTCACTCATCCTAATATTTCATTGCTTTTGAGTTTGTATCGTTTTTGGTAGCATGTTTGGATATGTTGTGCACTTAATACGATTTCGATAAAATTAAAGTATTATTCTCTGGATTTTAGTTTAATTAGAACTATGGTTTTAAAATTAAAAACTCACAAGTGTTGGCTCATGAACTTATCAAAATGTGGAGTAATGATTATTTTTAGTCACACCATCATAAATTTCTTTTAAAATAAAATAATTAAAATGGACAAAAATATAAGAAAATTCTAGCAAATTAGTTATAAGAATTATTACCACACATTGTAATAAGTTTAGGAATTAATACTCGATGATGTCTAGTACAGGGACCGATACAACCACAGATCATTGCTCCAACTAACTCTTATTTAATGAGAAAACAAATAATTCAACTGAGTGAAAGGATAAATGCGAAGTGAAACCATAAAAGTTACCAATGGGTTTGAGTTTATACATTGAGGCATGATAAGTTGAACATGTTTTATATGGGTTTAAATTAATTTCGCACAATTTAACTGCAGAAAAACATAAATACGATAAAACAGGACGTGTTTACGTTTTAAAAAATATATATACTATTATTAAGGGGAAGGAGGGTTCAAAATTAATACAATAATTTATGGCAAGAGATAGGTAAAAATCTAATACTATCCACTAGAATATTAGATCATCTCCAAAGAAAATATCAAATTATAAGAGTTAAATCTTATGTTAAATTTTGTACTTTTCTAACCGAATTATCATAAGATTTAACTCCAACTCACAAAACTTAACATAAGACTTCGATTGGAAAGACTTTTGGTTAGAGTTTAATAAAAAAATTCAATTTTTTAATTGTATATGTACCCGTTCTTAAATATACCAATTTGTTATATGAAAAATGTACCCTTTGTTGCAGTCATATTTACAATAGAAATGTGATTGTGTAAATCCTAGTAGGTTTAGGAATATCTCTTATATTCCTATTAGGAGTTGATTACATATTAAGTGTTGTAATCCTAAAAGGGTAAGGGTTTTACCTTTCCTACTACTATAAATAAAGGCACAATGGGGTGATACAACACACACCTCACAATTAAATCTCTCTATTCTCCTTCTTGCTACCGTCGACCCCTCCCTCTCTAATCCCTTAGATAGCTCAGTTAAATAGGCCTACAACACGTTATCAGCACACTCTTGCTAGAAGCCGAGGAATTGACGGATCGTAGGAGAGGCTATCTTCCACAAAATTCAAAGGCTCTTCTTTGTTTTCTACTAATTCAAAGTCTTTGGAAGAAACTACCTAAAGTAGATTCAAGACGTGAAGCTCCATCTTACTGCAAAAGGTATTAAAGCCACCATCGAGGCACTTACTGACGACAAAACTGTCGACAAAGCTTAGAAAGCTACTGCAATGGTCTTAATTCAAAGACACATCCATGGTGCTTTGCAGACCGAGTACCTCGCTGAGGAGGAGCCACGCACCCTCTAGCTTACTTTGGTCGACCGTTTCGATCTAGATATAGTTGCCTGAAGCAAGAGACGACTTGCACTATCTTAGCTTCCAAGACTTTAAGTCCGTAAATGAATACAACTCTGAAGTTTGTAGAATCTGATCACTGCTGAAGTTTTGTAAAGTGGAACTAACCAAATCAGATTTCCTGGATAAGACTTATTTGACCTTCCATGTCACCAATATTATCCTGCAGCAACAATATAGGGCATAGAAATTCACCAAATTTTTGGATTTGAGCTCTATACAACTTCTTGCTGAAAAGCAGAACAAACTTTTGATGAAGAATCATTAAGCTCGATCGACCAGCTCGAACGTTGCGCCTGAAGCGCATGCGACCAATTCTAGCAGCCATAAACGACGAAAGAATCGTCGTGGCCATGGCAACGAATGACAAACCCCGCCATGGGCCCACGGTCTACAAAATCAAGGTCTACACAAGGGAGGAAATGTGACCCATAAGCGTCCACCCCTTGCCCCTAAGGCCCTGAACTTCAAGAACAAGGGAAAAGTTACCACTCAACTGGTTTCCACTGAAATGGACATGTGTTATCATTATGGATCAAAAGATTATTGGTCACGCATATGCCGAGCTGACCTCGAGGCTATTGTCAAGTATCATTCCCGTTGTGAGTCTAACTTTGCACATGCGGATTATCCAGAAGATACTCCTACATCTACGGAGATATCAAATTTTCAGGATGCGTCAGCTCCTATGGACGAATAAATTACACATGTTTTAGGGTGTTTTACCCTTAATGGCCGACCACTCTCCCCTATTTTTCAAGGTTTATGGTTTAATTTTGAACAATTTTTCTATGTCTTTGGAATACTTTGTTTGGTTTT